TCACAATAAAAAACAACCACTACAGACACAAACACACACACACACACACACACGACACACCAACAACCCCCACACACACACACACACATATAAGTTAAATATTAAGGCCCATCAATTAAAATAATATCAAAATCCTTCAAATATAAATTATATAACTAAGCTAATTCTCCTTTTATTTGCCATTAATAAGAAACTTTGTTGGGCACACAATCTTCTTTATATCCTGATTTGTTTTGATCTTTGCAGAGCTGGAAACTTGGCAGGCCATCTCCACCCCTGGATTAGAGGTTTGACACCTCTTATCTATTAACAAGGACAGGATGGAGGAATGCCAGGCGGTATGTGTGTTTCTACCTCTGCAGCTATGCCATCCATAAGATGCAATGTAGGACAACAGAGGCAATTGTTGATTAGCACATTCCTAAATCTTCCTTATAACAGGGAAAATTTTGTCCTTGGATAAGGGCAAAGGCTCCAGATTTCCTCTTCAAATGCTGATGTTTACACTACTCTGAATCTGGGTTCATAGGTTCTTGAGGTCTGTTTAGAAATATAGGGCCTCAGATCCAGAACCAAAAATGGCTTAGCTGCTCAGAAGTGCAGGATCTCTCAACACAAGTCCTGCAGTATTACCTTATGTTAAACTGTGTGAAGTAAAAAAGGCTCAAGGTTGTTTTGGTTTACTTCTATGTATATGCTTGAATCTGGTCTTACCCCCTTTTTTGCCTCACATGTTACTGACTGATCTAAAACCATGTATGCTGACCAGTTTCAGAGTCTAGGACACGGTCAAATTAGTAAATAACGTCATAGTTTTCTACAACTTGAAAGATATTCTGAAAGTTATTTTTCTCAAGAAATCCAGTTCTGTTTCTACATCAAACAAATTGTTTGTCAAATTTGATCAAAGATTCTAGTTTGGTGATTTTAGACCAGAAGTCTGCAACCCAGGGCTCAGAGACACAATATTCTCTTAAGGACCTTCCATAAGGGCTGAATAATTTTGACAAAGACAACAACAAAAAAAATTAAATATAGATATAACTGCTTATGCAAGTTTTATTTTTATTTTTTTATTAATGGCTTGATTGCATTAGATTTCCCCCATAGTAACAACACTATTTTTAGCTATTTTTCTTGTAGTTATCTTTGAAACTCTGCTTTTCCTAACATTGTTTTGCCACAAATCTCAAACAACTAACAGAAAAAAAACTTTATCCATTACATGTTTTTAAAAGCTTTATTTCATTCTGTTTATTTATATAACACCAATTCACAATACATGTCTTCTCAAGTTTTCAAAGTTTTCAATCTAAGGAAACCCAGCTGATTGCATCGACTCATTGACTCGAAGGAAATCCCTCACGCCAAGCATGCTTGTTGTGACAGTAGAGAGGAAAAACTCTCTTTTAACAGGAAGAAACCTCCAGCAGATCCAGACTCAGAGTGAGCGGTCATCTGTCAAGGCCAACTGCAACAAAAGCCAAATGTTTATTCCAAAAAACAAACTACCCTTATTTGAAAATGAACTGAAAAACATGAATTGGGATAATGTGATACAAACAGAAAGTCATGACGAAAACCATCAAGACAAATATAAACTGTTTTCGAATGATTCGAGCATGTGTATCAAATCAAGCTGCACAAGTATATTTACATGGAATGATTTTATCCCATATGTCTTATTGCTCCATCGTTTGGGCCCAGGCCACAAAGTCTGTTTTAAAACCTTTACTCTCACTTCACAAGCAAGCATTAAAAATATTCGATCACTGCAAAATTATTAAAAAATACAACATGATGCCATTTGAAAATTTTATAAATTTCTCATTTTTACATGCTATTTTTAAATGCCTTAATGGTCTTGCCCCTGAAGTAATCTGTAAAATTGTTTTAAAGTATGCAAATGAAGGAAACAGGACAAGAGCTGGAGCTAGTGGGAACTGCAGGATTAAAAGATGTCGGACATCTACAGTATGGGTCAGTCCGCCTTCTCAGTGAAAGTATCACATCTCTGGAACTCTTTGCCTCTGGAACTTAAGTCACAGACTGATATTTGACTTTTCTCCACAAGATTGAAAAAATGGCTCAAAGACAATCAAGTGTGAGCACTAAACTGGCTTGTACTGTACTTTTTTTGTTTGTTTGTTTTAACTTCTCTTGTTTTTTTTATGCATCTGTGTGTCATTACTAACCTCCCTCCCCCTTAATGCTAACACCTTTTAAAAGCCTAACCAGGGATGAAGGCTCCAAATCAGCCCATGGCTACAAGCCTTATGTACTTGGACATCGGCCACCTGTTTGGTTGCAATGTTTAATTGTACTGTCCCTGTCAAATAAACAAATAAAGAAATAAAAATCCAGCCAGTCACAGTAAGAGAAACAGGACTACACTAAAAACAGATCAAGCTCAAATATCCAGAAACAAAGGTGTTGATGGCATCAGCACAGCTGATATTTTTCTCCAGGATGGTGTCACAGCCAAACAAGAACAGACCAGAAGCTACTACTATGATGAAAAAAGGCGGAGAGAGCATAAAGTTAGAGGTTGAACTAACAGATACTGCAGAGGGGGTGAATAGAGATAGAATGAAGCAGAATGATTAAAAGTGGTCCCTATGTCTTCCAGCAGTCTAGGCTTATGGCAGCATAACTCTATAGTTAGCTTAGTATAACCTGAGCCACTCTAAGCTTTATCAAAAAGGAAAGTTTTAAGCTTACCTTTAGATATAGACTGGGTGTCTGCCTCACTGACTAAAACTGGTATTTGGTTCAAGTTTTTTTTCCGCAGCATTTTGGATCAGCTGAAGGCTTTTAACTACAGTTTGTGGACTTCCTGATAATAAAGACTTACAAAAATCCATCCTTGAAATAACAAACGCATGGACCGCTTTTTCAGCATCACCCCTGGATAAGATATTTGTAGTATTTGCAAAATTCCGGAGATGAAGGAAGGAAATTCTAGAAACCTCTTTGATATGGGATTTAAAAAACAGGTCCTGATCAAAAATAACACAAAGATTTTTTTTTTTACTTTTTTACCTGGAATTAAATCCCTATCCAAATGAAGTGACTGACTAATCAGCTTCTTTTTCAAAGACTTTTTCCAAAGACTATTACCTCGGTTTTGTCTGCATTCAGGCATTTCCTTTATTTCAAAACTAAAAGACAGAAGCAAAATTTTGGTTCTTTAAATATGAAACACAACTTTCCTATAGCAGCTTTATTTATAGTTTATCATAAATACTATGTTTTCTTTCAAAAGGGTCTTCTAACATTTGCAGGTCTAATCAGGCTAATGCTGGAGAGAAGGAAACAATGGCTCCTTGGATAGTGCAAATTGCAGACTCATGCTTCAGACTCTGACATATTTTCAAGGTTCTAAGACATTGTGGCCAGACTGTGATTTTTTTTAGGTATAGAAAAGGTTGTAAAAAGAAATTAAAGATTGCTGTAACATGGAAAACACAACCAGTGCATGTTCATATCATTGTAGTTCTGTCAATGTTTCTCTTGCAAGGTTTTATTTGAGAAAACTGTTAGGTTTTTGTCGCTGTGATTTCTCTTTCCTCATATTGATAACCACTGTCTTGAGTGTACTCTGTATTAACTTGTGTTGCTCCATTTAAGTGTAATTACTTAAGTGGGATGCTTTCTGTTACTGTCTATCAGTCTCTGACATCAATCTGGAGAATGTTTGTCTCACTTTTCATTTTCTTCCAGGTGTAGCCTGGTTCAAATCACCCTACAAAATCTTAAATAGATAATTAAACAGCTTTTTATTCATTAAAATTATCTTGTCAAATATAGATTTTTTTTGACAACCTGAAAATTTAAGGAGATAAAGCAAAAAAAACAAAAAAAAACAGAGGAAATCTGTAATGGGGAAAATGTCAGAAAAACTTTGCTTGGTCAGCTGAGACTTTTTCTATCAATTTTTCAATCTCCAGATATGATCAGTAAATTTCTTGCATGTTTCATTGCACTTTCTAAAAAAAAGTTTCAAAACAATTTTTTGTAAATGTTTTAAATTTTTTATCATGACATTCAGCAGTCATGAAGTTGAATCCACTCACCTGAACGTATTATTATTTTAAAACA